ATACCTGACGATGCTGAGATACTTGTTGCATTTGCTACTTGCCATTCTATTACAAAGTTAGTTAAGATTCTAGTTTCTCGAAGACTTTTGTTTTGAAGAATTGCTGGAAAGCTACATGGAGATCCTTTGGAGCTTATTTTGTTCAACAAGTCTGGTTGGGAACTTCAAGAATCAGAAGCTGATGGAACTCCTCGTGAACGTGAATTGGAAATGTTCGATAACGTCGAGGTTTCATGATGCTTTGATAATTGCTGACAGATATTTGTTATACAGCCGGTTGTTGTAAAACCACCAGAGCAGCAGAAGCCCTATCATCCTACCAGACATGAATACTCCATCATTCGTCAATTCACTTTCAGGTGATTAATAAAAACCGTTTTCACAACTGGGAATTATTTCAGTTCTGCGCTGCAAAGAATGTCCGTTATTGTCGCTAATCCAACAGATGGTTCTGGACACGACATGACTTTGTATTGCAAAGGATCTCCAGAAAAGTTGTTAGAGCTTTGTGATCCATCCACCATGCCCTCTGATTATCTTGTGAGACACTTTTGACTTGGAGTGTTTTATAACTCGTGATTTAGGATGTGGTTGATAAATACACAAGACTGGGATACCGTCTAATTGCAATCGGGAAGAAAAACTTGGATATGAACTTTGCCAAGGCAGTCAAAGTAGCAAGAGATAAAGTAAGCAAGACTAATTCAGCGTATATTGACTTACACATCAACAGGTCGAGTCCGATCTCGATTTCATGGGAATAGTTGTTCTTGAGAATCGTATTAAGCCAATCAGTCGAGGAGTCATCACTCATTTGGGAAGGTTCAGAGATATTATAAACGCTGTTCATCCAATTCATTTAGCGCTAATATCCGCACGGTAATGATTACTGGAGATAATATTCTCACTGCGATGTGCATTGGTCGCGAGTGTGGAATCATCAGAGAAATGAAAGTTCATTATATTCTTGATCACGATCCAAATACAGTTGATGAGAGGAGCAGGCCTCTACTTCTTTTAAAAGAGGTCAGATGAAGATGAATTGTAATCTCAGCTTCCAAATTACAGTCTTCTTCTGGAAACAGCTTATCCGTTTCTGAGTATGTAGCTGGTATCGATTTTGTCAATCATAACAGCTATCAGATGTCTACATCAGGTTAGGATAGTTTAGAAGTATTCAAAACAATCAAACATTTAGGATCGACGTTTGCGATTGTTCTTAAGCACTATCCTGAGATGGTTGATAAAGTAATTACTGTATGTGATATCTATGCAAGAATGGCACCTGATCAGAAACAACTTCTTATCAATCTTCTTCAAAACGTCTGTCTTCAATATTTCTCATCATTTCATTGAACTTGTTCAGATCGATTACACAGTCATTATGTGTGGTGATGGAGCAAATGATTGTGCCGCTCTTAAAGCGGCTCACGCTGGAATTTCTCTATCACAAGCTGAAGCTTCCATTGCTGCCCCGTTCACATCAAACGTTTGTTATTCATAGTTTCAGTCATACAACGGTGTAACAGGTACCAGATGTAAGATGTGTTGTCAATGTTATCAAGGAAGGACGTGCAGCTCTTGTTACTTCCTTCAGTGTATTCAAATATATGGCAGCTTATTCTTTGACGCAATTCTGTTCAATCATGCTTCTATATTGGATTGCAACGAACTTAACTGACTTCCAGGTTTGCAAAGCGTCTAAATGGTTATATGTTATCTTTACTCTTCTTATAGTTTTTATATATTGATATGTTCCTCATCACCTTAGTCGCTCTCTTCTTTGGTAATACACCACCTACTGAGGTACTTCACGATTCACCTCCAACCACCCGTCTTCTCTCTTGGGCTAGTGTTTTCTCAATTTTAGGACAGTTGTTCATTATGGGATTATTCCAAGTAAGAACTTCACTTACGTTAAAGTTTTCAACATAAACGTTAAGGCTACCGTTTTTATCGGTGTAACTTTCCAAGACTGGTTTGTGCCATATGTTATGCCTAACGGGGATGATGGAGCGGAGAACAAAAGAAGTATGCAAGGAACAGCGGTGTTCTGTTTCAGTTGCTTCCAATACATTGCTTTGGCGGTTGCCTATAGTGTCGGCCATCCTCATAGACTAGGAATGCAGAAAAATTATTTATTATGTGGCACACTCATCATAACGCTATTGGTCAATGGAGCTTATTAAATAATAGTAAACTAACAAAAAATGTTTTAGGCATCTCTTTACATTGTGTTGTTCCCTCCTCATTGGATTATAAGCTTCTTAGAGTTCGATACTCTGCCCACAATGTACTTCAGATGTTCACTCGTCGCTTTAGCAATGATCTGTTGCTGCGTTAGTGTCTTTTTCCAAAAATATATAATAGAGAGTTCTAACAGTTGGAGCAAATCTAGGTGAGCATACAATTGATCTCATATTTGATCTATGAGATATATTACAGCAAAATACCATCATTCTTGCATAATGATGAGATAAGTAAGAAAAAATATAAGAGAATAGAAAAGGAAATAGAGAGCGGCCCTGACTTTCTACTTGAAGTTGCTGATCTTATTCCTAAACCAATGGAAATGCCGAAAAAGAAATCAGATGCATCCAGTTTCCGTTTTACTTCCATTAATGAAATGAATACAAGATTATGAATGAATTAACATCCTTGACTGCATTCATTCATTCATCTAACTATATAGAATGATTGACTTATAATGTTTGTGTGCGTGTGTGTGTGTGTGTGTGTGTATTATTAGATAGATAGCTTATTACTGACGCATAGATTCTTATTGAATTTCATATATTATCATTTATAAAAATAAATATTATCTTAACTATATCTAATCTAGTTTATCTTCATTTATCTCATCCCATCCCATTCATTCATTCATCCTAATATATGAACAATAAGAAACTTCTCTTCATAGATGCTATTGTAGAAATTAATAGAAAATCTTTACTTTTATGTTGTAATATAACATGATATTCAGGCAATATGTGTGTGTGTGTGTGTGAATGTGTGCGGCTTTTTTCTCTTTTTTTTTTATTTAAAATAAACTATTTTTTAATAAATTGTTGATTTGAATGAAGAGAAAAGGGGAGGAGGGAGAAGAGAAGGTTCAAATGAATTCTCTTAACATACAACTACAACTATAAACAGTTGAATGATGGATACGAGAAGTGGTGAAAGAACATTAAAAGATAAACAATTGAAATGAAGAGCAAGAACGTTGTACTTGATTACATTACACTCGTCATCATAAAACAAAATGATTGTCACTATAATAAAACACTTGTAGAACATCATCAACTTAATTATACGTTAATCATTGAAACTCTCAGAGAGAGTGAGAGAAGATGATTAAGATTAAGAGAGAGAGAATTTTCAGTTTCACCTGTATTCCGTTTCCTTCGTTGAAGACAGACGTCTGCCATTAAAACACTTTTTCCCTATTTCTCAGCCAAAATGGTCATTTTGAAAAAAAAGAAAAATGAAGTTTTAATGTCTCTTTCTTTCTCTAATACAAACTTGACGTTAAAAGAAAAATGACATTCAGAAATATGTGGTCAGAGACTATAACGATCATTCAGCCACTTGGTAGGTTGAAGTGTTGCTCAATCTTCATTTTTATAAACTTTTTATGGACATCAAGTGTTGAACATTGTATGCATTGTTCAGTAATACACACTTCATGCATATATAATAGGCAGTACAGGGTGCTTTCAGTTTGAGAACTTTTCGTTAGTCACTTTTCCAATTTTTACACCACTCCAAGTCAGTGTCACATTTAATAGCTCTAACAGGTATCGTATGTTTCATTTCTTTCTTTCAATCACAATCACACTTCCGAATTGCAATCAACCTATCGTGTTGTATTGGGACACTGCATTTTTTGCATTTCCCCGAACCCGTTTTCATCTTATCAGTCTCACTTAACAACAAAGCTTTCAGTTGTAGTTTCATTGACTTCTTCCTTTTCTCCATCATCATTCATATTCAATTAAATATTTCACTTTTTTTTCTCTCACAAAATGCTAATAATTCTCATAAGATAGTCATATTTGGATTTTCCATTTTTGTTTTTCATTACTGGTGACAGATTCTTGCCTGTTGCCATCCGAGCGGAACGTACGATTCATCATATTTCATTTTCCTAATAGAAAATGTGTGAAACTGAATAAGAGAGAAAGAGAGAGAGAGAGAGATAAACTAAGAGAGAAAGAGAAAAAAAAACAAAGTTTTATATCCTTAAAATGGTTGCGAAAATTCTGAGCAGATGTTCCTTGCCTCTATATCATATGGCAGCTGTCATTGCTCACCAATTCAAGGCTATGAACGCATGATTTTTCCATAGTTTTTCTGTTCTAACTTTTTGAGAATGAAGTATTGCTGACAATTCATCCAATTCGCATAACGTTTTCAATCTTCTCAAAGGCGATTACGAACCATTATTTTTGGCCCATTTTCATATATTCGAATATGATTTTATGATATATAAGTCAAATGAAATCCCTTTTTCTTTCTCTCTCCCACTCTTTATGTATTACCATACATATGGTTAGGTAGATTTTATAACTCATATTCCATTTGAAGAGCACAAGTAAACAAAACTGACTTCACTTTACGAATCCGAAATTAGTCTCTTGAGAATTGTAAGCTTAGAAGTCAGCTTTATGAATCCTGATAGTGTCAATAAATTTATAACTATGTCATTGTATAGACAACTAGTGTATTGAATCAGACACTTCTCTCATTCCTTTCCTTTTATATCGAAAAATCTTTGAAATGCATAAATTACGAGTCTTGTGTTTCATTGGCAGCTAACCTAAATCCATTGCCAGCAACTTGTTTCGAATTCTTATAGCTTATGTCCAATTGCTTCCTGCTTGTTGTTTTGAACTATTCATATCTCATTCATATAAATCATTCTTCATATATATATATTAATCCTATTATATATACATTTCTTTTTTCAGAAGAGTATAAGCATTGAATTATACAGGTACATGTTAAACTGTGATACTATCTGTTTGCTGGCAACAGCTGTTGCATTCTCCAAAAGTCCATCAACATCAGTTAGTTATATCTTTTCAGTTCATTTTATAGATTATTTATTTTTAAAGGTTTGCAATTATTGTGTTGATACACGTTCAACAGATTCAGAATGTTTCGATAACATCATTGAATGTGCATACAAAGATCCAGCATCATTAATCTTCTGTTTGAATGTATATGAGAAATCTGAGTAAGATATTATATTATATATAACATATTGTATAATATAAAGAGTATTCTAGTTCTATGATTGATCATTCATTACGATGTATCTCATATAAACAGTTTTTCATATTGGATGAACAAATCGTTCAGGTAAATACATTTTAGTGACAGCCATCACTCTAATACAATTCTTATTTCCAGCTAGGAGGCAATGGTGTTTGTAGCTATGATGATGGTTTGAAATGTAACTGCTCATCTTGTCCATATATTGAAAATGCTGTTGTAGTCAACAACACAGATTCATATGATGATACTATTGTATCTCATCCAGTGACAGAAGTGTCAAACAAACAGTAAGTCATTCTTATTGTTGTCTCATCATGCAAAGATTTAGACATTTTCGAGGTCGCGCCAAGCATATTGGCCTACATCAATATGATCATCACAATTTTGTGAAACAGAATAAGTCACATTTTGAGCAAAAAACCAACAACTCAAACAACTATCCAGGGAATATGCTCTTCATAACTATGTGTGTAATAGTTAGCATTCTAGTTATAAGAGCTCTTACATAATGATTATACGAATGAGTTTGTTTTAAAGATTATAAAACAAAACTTATAACGAAAAAATAAAGATTTTACAAAACAACGAGAGCATACAATGAGAATAGTGTTCGAACCAGTTATCTGTTGCTTTCTTCTTGTATTATCTGGGGTTAGTATTTGGAATTCATAATTGATGTTATTCATTGATGTTTCATGAAATAAACTATTTCATATTTGCTTCATCATTATGAGCTTGTTCTTGGTATATCATTCAGTTTCATTCATTTGCTTAACTGAAACCGTTTTTCAGTTTTCAGATAGTTTAAGAGGAAATGCCTTCTTTCAGTTTGTAAGAGAAGATGAAGCTGAAGATATGAGTGAATACTCTTTGTGAAAGCACAAGAAGCTTTAACCCCTAATAGGACTATTACGAGAGACAATGTTATTGTAGGAGAGTCGTAAGATAAATGGATGAGCAAAGTATTTCAAGAATGAAATTGAAAATGAACAACTGAAGGGATGGAAGTAAGCTCATATTCAACAATTCCATTTCAGTTATACGTGTTTAAACTTTTTCATTGATGCTTTTAACTTAATGATATTTGAAAATGTTTTTTTCGTGCCAGTCATTTGGCTGAAAACTGCTTATTTTGGAAAGTTTTCGAGATCATTTCTCAAAAATTTCACTGGCAGATGAGAAGAAATAGAAGTATACTTAACTAATCTAATAAATGAACGCTGATTTGAGAGTCCGACAGAAGAACATAGTTTGATTGATTGAATAGAACAACAGAGCGTATTACTAACTCACAAATATTACTTTTTCAGTCTTTCTTTCAACATCCTACTAACTTCCATCTGTTTGTGTGCTTTGAACTTTTTTTTTAAATGTGTTATTTCATCATTGTTACGGAAAGCATCTTTATTCCCATTTGGAACTCAGAACCTCAAATTCCCTTTGGGCTCCTCTCTCACACACTTCCAATTTGTTCCTTCCGTTTAAGCAAGTATACACTTTCTTCAGTCAATTCTATTTCTAATGCAGACGAAGAAGCAGAAAGGCGAAACAGAATAGAGAATCTTCTATTGTCAATGTAACAACCTCTTCATTGCTCAAACATTAATTACTTTTTATATGTTTTTGATATTCTCTACAATTCATATCATATCAACTGATCAATGTTGTTAATGCTCTAGTGATTATAGAAAATATACATAATGAGTTTGCCATTCAATGGACAATTTGGATCAGATGATGATGTTGATGTTGCTCCTCCACCACAGAAAGATATTAGTGAATATCCATTGAGTGAACGCTTTTCAAAGGTACAAACCTTCAATAGTTACCTACACTTTCGAAAAACTCAATGATGTGACGTAATAGACAGCTGACAGGCTGCTGCATGTTGAACTTCTGAGCTCTCATTTAAATTTCTCAAAAACACAAGGAAATTGGCGGCCATAAAATTAATTAAACCAAAGTACAAAATTAAATTTTCAAATGGTCTCATCATCATTAAGAGAATCATTATTGAAAGATGTTACGACAACTCCCTTAATTAGCATGAAACGCGTGGAAAATCAGTTTTTTTACTGATTTTCATTTCTCTAATGAATTTTTTATATGAAAAACAAGCGTGGTGGTTGCAGATGTTCATTGAAGCCAGGTGTACAGATAACATTTTGTTCGCAACAGCTATGCTGTTTGGATTCATTGTTATTCTATCACAATCATTACCAATCATATTAAATGACTGGGTACTACTAACTGAACCACGGGAGATCAATCGAACTAGTGAAAATGGAGATATAATGGTTTGAAGCTATACTTTCATTTATATAAGCAGATATTATTATTTTTTCTTATTAGGAAACAACATTTCACTACCATACTGGTTACTTTCAATTATGTCGTTTTGTAGTTTTCAATTTCACTGGAACAACCTATACAAGCGAAGAGTTGTCTGGTTGGTCAACCATCTGTCACCAACTTCAAATTAATTTTTTTCAATTTTAAAGATGAAGATCGTCGTCATCAATGCCATTTAAATCCTTTGATCACTCAAAAAGATTTGGGTGACTTCTCTGTAGCATCATTAGCTATAATTGGTAAAAGCTTTTATATATATTGCCCCCTATCTCTCTCTATCCTCATCTGAATAATCATTTATAGTACGTCTTGGAATTCCCGCTCTATTGCACATATCTGGAGCCACAATTTGCTGGTTAGCATTATTTCTTGGAATATTTGGTCATTTGAATAGAACAAAAAGCACTCTATTCTCATCCATATGCTATATAATGGGAAGTATGTATTTAAAGAAGTAACAGTAATTCAATACAATACTTGTTAGGTATTATTCTCTCTACAGCTGTACTTATGGTTGTCTGCGTTGTTGATGATGAATTGGCTCCACGTATGAAACCAAACGCCGCAGGAGAGCCTAGCCAATTTAGCTATAAATATGGTTTGTTTTATTTTCATAATATGGCTACTTAAGCGATGGGGAAGAAGAAAAAAAAATTTTTTTTTAACCTCCTTGAGAGAGTAAGAGTGGAAAACCACTTATGAAAAGCTGAACTGACTGCTCATTTCATTGATCAAAGAGTACAAATGAGGATTATGATGAAAATTTTATAGGATATCCATTCTTTTCGGCAGCATTATCGTTTCTACCTGTAGAGATATGTGCCTGCTTGCAAGCATTTCTATTCTTCAGGTAGGTGTCAACAACTAACAATTCCAAAAGATGAATGAATATCTTAGAAGATATCCTTCGGTAGTCGAAAAACTTCGATTCGTTCCGGGACTAGAAGCCAAACGTATGTATTCGTATATTTATTGTTTGAGTGGAAACAATAAAAAAAAACCAAAAATGAAAATAACAAAAAACGTTTTGTAGTACGTAATGCACAATTGGACAAAGAACTAGGAATCCCACCACTCGAACCTGTGCGTCGTGGATCATTAGCATCATATTTGCCAATACCATCTGTAGCATATGTGGAAAGAAGAAATTCTCGTAAAGGCAGTCAAGCATCTTATACGAGTAACAGAGTATTATATGTACAAGAATCATATGCACCTAAACTATATAATGATTAATGTTATAGTATATAATTTATATGTTATTGACAGTCATCTCCACATGATACTGTTTCATGTATTGATATTCATTTGTATTGATGTTTATTCAGAATATGAAAAGCTTTTACAAACAGATTTATTTAAAATTTTACTAATCTCTTTCTTTCTTCATCTATCTATCTCTCTTTCCCTACCGTCTCTCTCTCACCATCTCATTTCCCTTATAAAGCATATATTCTGATGTCATTTCACATTTTCATTTGAAAATTGATGAGAACCAAGAAATTATTTTATTTTCATTCTCTTTTTCTCTTTTAAAAAAATGAAGTAAAAGAGAAATAGGGTGATAAAGAGAGAGAGAAAGAGAGTAATAGAAAGATAGAGAGATATTTTATATTATGTAATAGCTAGCTATTGCGTACTTTATATTTCATCCATCATGTGTGTTCTTAACTAAATTAAATAATTTTATAGCCATCGTTTAAATACTATTTCATGACGTTTCATGAATTTAAAATTCACAAAAAGCTCTTTTCTCTTAATTCCCGCCCATTCTTCAAGGATTCAAATAAGATATATTTAGAGTGATAGAGAGAGGAGGGAGATAGATGAATAGAGAGAGAATGTGAAAGAACTGGATAAGATATGCTGCAAATGAGCATTAGAATTGTTGAGTTAGCTAATCGCAGCTGATTTTTCCCCCTTTCTTTGGAAATCATTTATCATATTCATATAGATATACTCATTTCCTCTTTTTATATGGACCTCTCTCTCTCTCTCTCTCTCTCTCTCTCTCTCTACAAAACCTATTACTTCCCCTTTCTCCTTTCCTTTCTCTCTCTCTCTTAAGTATATTTATATCATATTGAGAATAATCACAATGCATTTCCGGTCAGATTTCTCTTTGTGATTGGTATAACAAGTAAATTGAGGTACTTTTCGGAAAATGATGCCTGTTTATCCAATTATTTTAACTCCAACATCATCTGACTATGTATTGAATATGTCTCTATAGTCTACAACTACTACTACTACTACTAGTATGCAATATTTCAATTTCATTTTTGTTTTAAAAAAATCTTTTTTTTGTTTCAATTCATATAGATTATATATTATATTACACATGTTATATATGACATCTACTCAATTACATAGATAGACTTTGGGTATGATACTCTTAGTCATTCTCACGTTACAAAATCTTTTTTTTTCTTTAACTAGTTTATAGGAGGATTACACAACTGAAAGCTGTGAATCAACGTTTTTGTTCCTAACACAACTCCGCCTTCTATTCTTTTTTTGTGTGTGTGTATGGGTGTGTTGGTAGTGAATAGAAGAAGACGAAGATGGTGATGAAGAAGAAGAAGCAGAAGAATATAAGACTAACGGCTGTAGAGACTTTATCAAACAAAAATGCCTTTTCTCCAGGCAAATCTATATGTTCGCTTTTGTAATGTCAATCTTCTTGTTTTCATACTCATACGTTTGTTATGTTTTTTATTCTTCAATACCACACTCGTCGTTTACAAATTTAAAAAGAGATAGTGAGAGAGAGAGAGAGACACAGAGAGAATGAAAGAGTGAAGAGCAGAGAAGAAAAAAATAATCTTAGAACTATGAGAAAAGGTGAAAAAACCTCACATGTTTTGCAATATATCTTCATCGAAGCCATCTTTAAATATATTTTCAATTCATTTCCTCAATTCTCTTTTTTCATCTTCATTTTCTTCTTTTTTTTTTGTGATTCTACTCCTCCTTGTCCTCATCCCCTCCCTCTCTCATGATCACTCTCTCTATATATATATAACTTTCTCTCTCTCTTATCCCCTAGCTTTCTCTCTCTCTCTCTCTCTCTCTCTCTCTCTCTCTCTCTCTCTCTTTCTCTCTCCCTT